AACACGAAGGCTGTCTGTACAAACAGCTGGCCAATATTATTAAAAACAAAAGAGGTGAGTAAGAACATCGTCACCTTTCTGTTTTCCTTCCTCCCTCGGCCAAGCTCTGGTTGGTACTCCACCTCTGAGCTGCCATACTCAAAAGGTGAAGTCCAAAATTAAAAATACAACCGGTGTAGAATAAATGGGGAGTGAGATAAAAGAAAAAATGAGGGAGGGGAGTGCTATATTTACACTAGAGTTTTATAGACAACCGTCCCACTCCATCCCAATTCCAACCCTGGCCCAGGAAGTGAGCGGTGGCAGGTCCAAGGGACAGAGCTTAAGTGTCTAGGGACCCAGACAGCTTCCCACCCCCAACTGCAATAGGTCCGAGTTCAAGTCCACAAGATGGGAAGGAAGGGTAGGATAGGAACATCACTCATTTCCAAACCAGCCTCCCTTGGGAATTTCTGCCTTGAAGTGGGAGAACATCCCAGCTCCGGGGGACAGGCTGATGACCCTGAGGCTCAGTTCCCAAGTCATGTTGCCATTCGAAGTTCCAGCCTAGAGATGGCATATGTCAGGGCTCTCCAGATTTCGGAGGCCCCGCTAACCGCCGGGCCTCTGGCCGCAGTTCCTTGCATTTCTGGCAGTAAAAGAAATCAGGGACATTGGTCTTCTTAATCTTAGCACAGGAGAGGTGGATCCACGTTCCACACAGGCTGCACTCAATCATGGGCCGGCCTGCAAAGGGCTTTCGGCAGTAACACGTGATCAGATCCCATGAGTCATCACCTGGGGAAAAGAAGGTTTGTTTGGTGTTCTGCTGGAGCTCTTAGATCCACAATACCCCCAAACCCACCAACCCAGCTACCCCTGGGCAGCCCCAAACTTCTCACCTGATTCTACCATGATGTCCTCATCCATGACCCGCATCTCGCCTTCACTGGAGCTGGCATCTCCATCTTGGCTTGTTTCAGTGCTGCCCACGTCTTTGCTTTCACTGTCAGTGGGAGGGACTCCTTCAGGGTGCACTGTGGCAGGGGGCCTAGGAGCTTCAGGAGGTGTTGGCAGCACAGGGGCTGGGGCTTCCCCTCCTACCACTGCTGCCATCTCTTCCTCCTCCTCTTCTTCCTCTTCTTCCTCCTCCTCTTCAGAGTCTGTATCGCTGGGGGGTGCCCGGGGAGGCCCAGGAGGTGGGAGTCTATCCCCCCGCTCTGCCTTTTTCAACTTCCGCTTCTTGCTCTTCTTGATTCGAGACCTCTTTTCCCCATCCCCAGGGGCTGGCCGAGGCCTCCGAAGCACCCCAAAGCCTGTCCCCCCCTCCTGGCCCCAACTTTCGGTTCTTTCGGTCCTTCTTTCGAGGAGGCTGGGAGAGATCCCCCTGGGAAAGGGGCACTGGGGTGAGAGCAGCAGGGGGCCGGGAGGCATGTGTCAGGGATGTGGGGGACAGTGGAGATGCCATTTTGGGCCCATCTAGATCAAAGAGAGAGTCCTTGAGTTTCATCTTCTCAAGCAGGGTGGCACTATCAGGGGCCTGCAGACGAGGGAAAGTGGACCTTGGGGGTCCTGGCTGGGTGGGACCTGCTTGAGCTGCCCTTCTCTTGGATGACTTTGCTTTCTTAACAAAGGTCTGGATGGTTCTGAGATCTGAGGGGGCTGAGTCCCAGCCATCGCTGTCTGCCGCACTCTCACCTCGCAATGGGGAGCTGGAGCCGGAGGCTGGCCAGTCATTTTCCTTAAAGGGGAGAAGAGACCAGGATCAGCAAGGGGCCCAGGGTCATCTCAGCCCCTATACACACCCAACTTAAAAGACCAAAATATCTGGCCAAAACCACTAAATCTTACTATATTCAGAAAACTTATCCCCATCCCAATTCCCATCAGCATCTCCTCTTGAACACTTCCATGTTACCCCTGACCTCAAATTCTAACCATCTCCCCAATGCCCACTGCCTTCACAACACAGCATCCCCCAGACCAGAGCCATTTTTCTCTAGCTCTTTCTGAACAGCCTCATTTGTTACCATTTTCAGTTCCTAAAGTTTTTATCCAAAAGCACTTTCCATTTAGAGCACCCCAAAACCATTCACTGCACTCAAACCACCTATTAGTCCCACCCCCACTCCAGATACTAGTTTTCCCACCAAAATTTCCATTTCCCTAGTCTTACATATAATTTCTAGGCTTTGCCTACAACGTAACACAGTCTCATAAGCTCAAGAGCCCCTCTACAGCCCTAGGACACCACCCTCCAGTCAGTTGTCCTCCTGTCCCTACCTCCTTGCTAGGGGGGATGTAACCAGCATAGGCCAAAACAAAACTGCAGAATTTGTTGAAATCCTCAATTGTTCTCCGTCGTTTCTCTGGTGGCTGAAAGGAAAAAAATATGTAGCACACAGAGTTTACGAGGGACATTCCCAAAAGCATAGTCCCTGGAGTGAGAAATCTGGAAAAAGTGGGAGAGGGAGAGAGAAGGAGCAGGAGATCCTGCAGTAATACTGGGCTGCAAAAGAATGGGAAACCTCACCTGAGTCTCTGGCTTAAGGGTCGGAGGTGGATCTGTGAAAGCAATAAAAGCTGAGTCAAGGCACTAGGAAAGAGTCGGTGTAAGACCCCACCTCTCAACCTCCGAGGTCCCAAGTGAACCCCCTCCTCTCCCAGGTCCCTCAGCCAGGCGAGCAGGCCCCCAGCAGTGCTGGACCCGCCGCTGCTCCCCCTTCCGCCCCGCGAGGGGCGGAGCCTGGGCGCGGCGCCCTCTCAGGCCTCGCTATAGCGCTCCCCTTCCCCCCACCGGAGGCTTGGCGCTCCGCCCCCCCCACCCCCAACTCACGGTTTCTCTAGACTCCGGGTTCCTCGGCTCTCTCGGCGCCCCACCCGCCATACCGCTCCCCGGACCGAGCCCGGGCTGCCGCCTGCCCCTGTCCTTCACACGCGCCCAGTGCCCGGAGTTCCCACCCCGCCGCGCTCTACCGCCCCGGGCCCTCCGCGACCGCACACGCCGCCCGCCGGCCCCCAGGGTCTAGGATGACCACGCCGAACCGCTCCCCGCCCTCCGGCCCCTTCTACTCGAGCACGAGGCCCGGCGCGCCCCTCACCCCCACCAAACACACACGGGCTCACACATCCAACGCCACTTCGCGGCCGGGACAGACCTGAGAGCTCTCACCCGGACGCGGCCCCACCTCCCCCCCCCCCCGGCTCTACCCCCCCCCGACCCCCCCCCCCCCCCCTCCCCCCGGCGCAACTCGCCGGCCTTAAACCCCCACCCCGCCCCACCGCCCCCAAAACTAGCCAGCTCTCGTCGCTTCCCGGCTCCCTCTCCCCACAACCACCCCCCGCATAGGTCTCTCTATCGCAGACAATACCCAGACCCTCTCTTCTCCCCACAACTATCTGCCCACCCCTCCAACAATCACCGGGCTAGCTCCGGCGGCAACTACCGGGAGCTCCGGCACCACCGCCACAAACTCCCCCACCTCGGCGAACTACCGAGCTCCTCACTCAATCCTTTTCTACATCCTTCCTCCCCAACAACTCTCCGGCCCCCAAATTCCCCCGACCTCCCAGTTCTAGGGCCCCAACCTGCCGGAGGCCCTTTCGGCCCCTAACCCCCGAAGCTGTGGGTTTCCAGCTCCCGCTCCCCCATCCCACCCCACCCGCCCTACACACACACAGCGCCTGATCTCCAACTACCCCCAGCCCAGTCTCCCACTCCTCTTTCTCCAACGTCTCTCAACTCGTCACTCTCCCACCTCCAGGGGCAGGCCCCCGACCCCTTCCCCGCCCTCCCCCGCTGGGCTCCTGGGCTCGACCTCCAAGTTTGCCAATAGATTCCTCGCCCGCCCCCCGCCGGCTAAGCGCTCTGTACCGGTCGAGAGCTCACCTTCGGGACTGGGCTCCGCCATGGCTTCCAGCATCGCCCCCTCCCCTCCTCCCGGTCCGGCGCCCCCCCCCCCCGAGCCGGGGATCCCGGGGCCGCCTCCGGTGCTCGGAGCTCCTACTGCCTCGCTCCACGGAGGTGTCTGCTTCGACTCGGTTGTGACTCGAGTCCGCTAGCCGCTGCCGCCACCTCCCTCTACCACTGCCTCCCGCACTCCCGGACCGGGCCCCCTCCCCCCGCGCCGCCGGCCGCCTGCTCCCTCCTCCTTCTCTCCTCCCTCCCTCCTCCTCTCTCCCCCCTCCCTTCGCGGGCGCTAACGCGCAATGCATCAAGGGGATTATAGTCCGTCCGGGGGCAGCAAAAAGGACACTGCATAACCCTCCGGAACTTCAGTTCCCAGCAAGCCACGGATTGGCGCAGGCGCACTAAACCGCTCGCCTCCCCCGGGGAGTGGCGGGGAGATTGGGAGCAGAGGGGAGAGGGGAAGAGTGCGCTCAGGCTCCTGGGAAATGTAGGCTGGGCGGGGCTAAGAAAGAAGGGGACGAAGGGAAAGAAGGGATTAGAACTTTCGGCCACCATACTGCCTCATTCTGCGGCTTCTTTCTACCCACGGGGGACCGCCCCACTTCCGGCCAGACAGAGAAAAGGCTGCTGGGAGATGAAGTTCTCCCGGTGATAATGGCTCCCTCCTCCCCGTGTTCTCCCTCTCCTGGATTACACTCCACTGGATCCCTCGCGCCGGCACAAAGTCTGTCTAAGCAACATGCATCTGAGGACAGAGTCCTTTTACTAGCTCCCACACTCGAAAATCTCCTTCACCCAAAAGATTATGACAAACTTGGATGGTTTATCTAAAGCAGGTGCTTTCAAACTTCCACAGAAACCCACAGTAAAAAAAAAATTTTTTTTTTTATAACCTCAGGACCCAATCCATACACACGTATATAAAACTGAACTTTCATGAAATGATACTCAGTATTCCATCCATCACAACAAAAGCACACTTTTTATGCACAAGGAAAAGCCCAACATAAAAACAAACCAAAATATACTACTATCCCTCCAACCTCCTCTTTCCCCACCACTGACGAGGGAGAACAAAAGGGGGAGGGGAGCAACACAAAGAAAAATCCAGTTCAGTTTGGTGGTTTTCTCTTTATTGATGTGCCTCCTACCTTCCCCCCACAATTTCAGTCCCTTCCATCTACCCCCAAAAAAGAAGGTGGTGAAAAGAAGGGATTGTTGGGGTTCTGAGCCCCTTGGGCAGTTAGAAAGGGAAAAGAAACCAAAACAATCACCAGATGTGACACAGATTGACAGTCAAGAAGTCTAAAGCAGAATGGGAAAAGTGGTAAAGGGGAAGAATGAAGAAAGAGTGGGTACTAGAGGCCATCTCCCACATTAACTCTTGTGTTTAAAGGGGCTGGAAGAGAGTCTCAAACATTAGGAAGTGCAGGTCCTGAAAAAGGGAGGTGGTGTTTGACCCTCAAAGAGGAGCAGGTCAAGGAAGGGGGGCCACCTCTCTCTTTGTAGAATGGGACCCCCCCACCTTAGGGACAGCAGCTTCACAGACCATAGACACTTTCGTCACTGTAGGCAATGTATAGAAAGAAGTCTTCTTCATGGTGTTCCTGGGGTGAAAGCAGAAAGTAACAGTGTTCAGGCAACTGGGCCTTAGTTACTTGAACCACCCACCACCGGGGCAGATTCTTCCAAAACCATTCTTTTTGACTCTCCCTCTCACTTGCTCCAGGCCCTAGATGTTGAACAGTATTATTCTAGCCAACAGTCTTGGGCAAAAAGACCTCAAACTGTTCTCTGCTGCCTTGGAACAGGGAGGGGCCTGGGGAGAGTCTGCATCACAACAGTTGCTCCAGCTCACTATTCTCTCTTCTTTCTACTCCCACGGCCCTGTCCAAATCCCCAACCCAGGACTATGTGGAAATTTTAAGAGCAAATATAAAATTGAGAGCTAAGTAAGCCAGTTTGGTCCAAGAATTGCTGACTTAAAACTTTTTCCCTCTCAAGTGCTTCCAACTCCTCTCCAAAGCCTCCACTACTTCCCAGGCACCATACCTGGTATAGCTGACCCATCGTGGCACTGGTGGGTGGAATGACATTGTTGACAAAGAAAAACAAGGCATCCTCAGCTCGGAGATGAATTCGCTTCCGGATCAAGAAGTAGAACTGACCAACTGCCAAAGATACAAGGCCTGATAAAGTCAGAGATCACAAATGCCCTCAAAAGAACACCTTCTATGTGGAGTCTCCTCCCACAGAGACTGCGCTCCCCCCCCCAGGAAGCAAACCCGGTATTGGGTCAGATTCCCACCTGTAAGATCAGAAGGCACCAGATATTTCTTTTTGTCCAGGTCTCCTATCCGAGCTTTGGGAGCCTTTTCTACTATCACCTGTTAAAGAGAAGGTTAAAATTAGGAGACATTAGGTATATAGCCCGACAGCTCCACCTGTCAAGAACTCAAACAACAACATTCCTAGCACCCACACCTACCCCAGACTCATTTCTCTTTGTCTCTGAACACGCGGCGCAGCCCTGAGTAGGGATTCTGACCCCACTGACTCAAATTCACCTAAACATCCAGGATCCCTAAACAGGGCGTCATAACAAACCGTTATTTTAATCATAAGGGGATGACCTGTCTGGGCCGACTACAGCTTCAATTTCAAAAACCCCATGTGAAGCTCAGACTGTCAAACGCCCCACAGCTTCCCACATGAATCTCAAGGTCTGTCTCTCGCGTCTACATCCTCTCACCCCCAGCTCTACCGCTACCCCACTCCTTTCACCTCCGGTCCCAGGGACAGCAGTTTCGGTCTCGTTCCCAACCCCGCCACAGCCGGCAGCCTGAGGCCCGCGCTGCGGGTCCCGGACTCAAGCCCGGGCTGTGGCGTCAGCGCCAGCGCCCCGCGCCCTCGGCCCTGGCTACTGTCCTCACCGGGACCCGGTCCGGGTATTTCTTTCGGATCTTCTCGCCCTCAGAGCGGCGCTTCTCGAACGGATGCTCCTCTTTATACACGAACTTCATCCTCCCGGGAACCGGGCTGGACCGGGCTGGGCTGAGGGAACCCGGGGGGGGCCGGGATGGGGGGCGGTGGCGACGGCGGCGACGCGCGGGCGGATTCGGCGGAGCGATCCCGGGACTTGGGCCACTTCCCTATTCACCAACCCCGCCCCCGACCAGCAGGAGCCTCCCCGCCTGCTATGTTACGCCGCTAGCGCAACGGCCCTAACGCCACTAGCGTAGCACCACCGACTGACCGCCACCCCCACGCCGTCAGTGCAATAGCTTTGGAATCAACTTGGAGGCTACGCAGGCGGCGTAGGAAAGACTGTTGGCTTTTGCTATCGTCGAAAATAACTGAAAACCCATTTTCCGAGTTCCCCCCAGGAAGGTAATGATGAAAATGGCTGGAAGATGGTAACCGTAATTTGAGACTTGGCTCTCCAAAAGTTCTTTTCGGAAATAACGTACAGGAAAAAGAGCAGATAATTACAAGGAGAGCTATTCACGAAACGTGTTGGTACGTTGAAGGCGGCCGTTGACACCAAAACAAAGTAGTACCCAAGCGGAGGAAGTGGTCTCCGGAAATAGAGGGCAAAAACGAAACGTATGTTTAGAGAGACGCACGGAACGCTTAGGTTCCAGGGGTGAGTGGACCAATAGGGACTAGAGAGGAGGTCCGAAAAGTAAGGACTACGTCAGCGCGGAAGAATACTGCACTGTCTGTACCCGAGAATCATGTGATCTCGGAGAAGGGCGGGGCGTCACGTGGCGGGTGCAAGGAAGTAGAGCCGGCTTAGGCTTCGGGGAGGAAAGCACTGGGGAGGTGGAGCCCCGGTGCTCGGCCTGCCCGCCGGTGGCGTGGAGCACCCCCCCTCCTCCCGCCCCACGCCGCTCAGGGGCAGCGTCTGCTTAGCTTATTCACGTCAACCCCCTAGACGAAATGCTGGCTTTGCCGGCGCCCAGGTCTCTCCTTTCGTATTTCTCCGTCCTACCGCACTGAAGCTCACGTTCCCTCAGGACACACAGTTGTCCTTTCACTCCCCGACAAGGGCGCCCATCCTGTCACTAAGTCCCTTCCCACCAGGGAAAGCTAATACCACCATTCCCCCTACCCCTCGGGTCTACAGCAGCCTCTTTTCCTTCTGCCTAGGGGACAGGGTGGGTGTGAACACAGACCCCTCCCTTCATTTCCCAAAACCCCAGAGAAGGACCTAGGGCAGCCTTGGTTTTAAAGTTATAATGCATGGTTTAAAAGAGAGAAAAGAAAAAAAAAGAGAGAAAGCTGGTTACAGGTCTGAGGGAATCTAGGAAGAAGGGAAAATAGAAAGTAAGGGAGGGGACAAGTTTGGGGAAAATCCAGTGGCCCAAAATCCCAGTGTCCCACCCACAACCCAGCCCTTGGAGTGAAGAATTAGATCAGTTTTGTACAAGAGTTTTTAAAAAAACAAATCACAACAAAGCTGGCTTGGCTTCTCTTTGAGCCTCCCGGATTACCGAATGTCTGTCTCCCACTCTGGCCAGTCCTGTCTCTCCACCAGACACTGTTGCGGCTCTCCTAGGCCTCCGCTTATGTCCCAGTCTGGGGTTTCCAGGGAGTGCGAACACGAAGTTAAGAGTGAGGCTGCTTGAGAATCTGGCCCTTGTGTCCATCCAGACTCCATATGGAGTGCAGGGCTCCCAGGGCAGAGAGGGGTGGGAGGGGCAGACCCTGCCCAGGCAGTCCTCACCAGTGGACAGGGCACCAGACGGCATCCCGAGGGCTCACCCTCCCTTTCCCCCCCACCCCAACTCAGGTGGAGGGGGAGCAGCTGTCACCAGAGCCTATGTTGGTGAAGGTTTCGGCTCAGCACAGAACGAACATCAGCGGTGAACCTGGGACAACAATAACTTGCATTGGTAGAGTCCTTATGTTGATATCCTCACACTAGTGTAAGGCAGCCTCACGGAAGACGTGGGGTGGAAAGGATCACCGTTTTCACATGAGACAGGTTCAGTTTGCCCAAAACCCAAAGGCTAAAAGTGATGAGTTTTAAAAAGACCTTGTTCAAAAGTAATATTCTTAAGGGAAAAGAGATAAGTAAAGTAAAACAGGACAAACTTTTATTCCTTCTTGGGATCCCCCACCCGCTTCTCTCCTCAGAAATCTAAGTGTCTAGCTTCCCTTACCTGAGGGCATCCAGCATCGGAAGCAGGTTGAGAAGGGCGGTATCGCTGGGGTCACTGAACCAGGATTTGATGGGGATGGCATTGTCTAGAGTGGGTGAAAAGGCACATGAGAAGAAACAAAGGATTCAAGAGAGATAGGGTGTTTTTCCTTTTATTTGGGGGTGGGTTTCATTACTTTAAAATATATATCCCCCCCGCAAACTGAATGACCTAAGTAAAACCTCCTTGATTTATTCTTCAAAATAAAATAAAATTTTAATCACCGTATTTCATACTAGGGCAAGGCTTCTAGTCAAACTTACTGCCTTGTGTGTACCTGAAGCAATTTGATATGAGAAATCTGATTTATGAAATGGATATGGCGGGGCGGGGAACATCTCATTTAAAAGAGAAACAACTTGCATCCTGACCTACTGTAAACCAGGGAATCCCAGCTCCATGCATTCAAAATACCTACTCAGAACCACTTCCTAGTCCTGCCAGACTCACCACCGTCCCCTGTACCTGGATGGCTCCTGTAAGCCCCTGGGGAGTTATCCAGGATCACAATGCTGGAGAGGTCACTGTGGACCACAGAGAGGTCCTTGATGTAGCTGCCCAATTCCAAAGTGCAGTGCTGGAAGGCAGGGTGAGCTGGTCATCAAAAGGAGACTCGCCCTCTGTGATTGCTCCCCCAATCCCAACAATGCCCACAGGCAGCCAGTTCTCACAAAAGGGATTATACAGTATGCCTCCCCCACACCCTCAGAAGGTTCCATTCCAGGGCAGTTGCCTTAAACTCAGGTCCCTCCCTGATGGCCTGCCTCCCAAGCCTCACTCTTAGACCTGGACGCTAGCCCCTTACCTGTCTGTAGTATCTCCTCTTGAGAATGCTTCTGCTATTATCCAGTTTATCTGCCACAGCAGAGCCGTAAATTTCCATGCTTGCTGTGAACACCACCAGCTCGTACCACTGGCTCACCTGAAAGAGATTGGAGGAGAGGAAGGTGTCAGAAGAGATGATCATTCAGACATATAGATCCCTTTTACTAAGACTCTAGCAGAGTCCTTCAGGACTTCCAACAACACTGAATGTCTCTGAGGACACAAAATTCTGAAACTGTCCTCAAACTCAAGAGTCTTAGGCACCATACACCCTTAAGATTCACAGATGCAAGAACAAAAGAGTGGGAAGGGGCTTCCCTGGTGGCGCAGTGGTTGAGAGTCCGCCTGCTGATGCAGGGGACGCGGGTTCGTGCCCCGGTCCGGGAGGATCCCACATGCCGCGGAGCGGCTAGGCCTGTAGGCCATGGCCGCTGGGCCTGCGCGTCCGGAGCCTGTGCTCCGCAACAAGAGAGGCCGCAGCAGTGAGAGGCCCGCGTACCGCGAAAAAAAAAAGAGCGGGAAGGCTGTGGAAGAATAGAATTGCATCAGCAAAACAAATGAACCCAAACTATCGAAAGCCATTCTCTGAGCATCCTACAACCTCCCCTCTCCAAAACTGCCCTTACCCATTTCTCCTGATCCCTTACTTCCTCCAAATCCTCTAAATTCCCTGAGCCCTAAAACCATTGCTTCATCACAGAGCTGCCTTCAGCTTCTGCAAACTCACCACTTCCAAGAAGAAATCCACATGGGGCCTCTTATGTACAAAAAACCGGACGGGATGTTTGTCTATTACCACCTGTAGAGGAACACAGCAGGGCTGGGAGAAGTCCTGAGCACCACAACACAGGCCTAAAGGATACCCCCCACCCTCCCACTGCCTGCTTCCCTCCTTCAGGCTGCCAGAGGACACAGCCAGGGATGAGATGCTCTGGGACTGGCAAAGAATTGAGCAGAATAACAGACGTAACCATTCCATCACTTCCCAGCCCCACACACCTTGAGAATGAAGTCAGGAGGCGTTCCAGGCCGGACTGTAGGCCTCAGGACCCCATCATGATGGGAGTGAATAAGTGTCTCATCCAGATCCAGCACCAGGATCTTCCTCTTCACCTGGCCTGAACCACAACGGGAAGGGGTAACACCAACCAACCTCCAGCCAAGACCTTGAACCCTACCTCAGCTAGGGTTCCTCCCAGTCAGCATACTCACTTAGCCGATTCCGGGACACAGGAGATAAGGGAAGGATGTCATATCGAACAGTTTGGTACTGAATTACCTAGGAATAGCAAGAGAGAGGTTTAGAACCCTTGACAAGGAAATCTTCCCCACTAGTAACAGGAAGCACATGTTGAACATTTACCATACACTGGGCATAGTGTAATTTAGGGTTGTTTCTTTAATCCTCAGAACAACCCTAATAATAACAATATCATCTACATCTTAAGGACAAAGAAACCAAGGCTTGGAGAAGTTAAATAGTTTGCCTAACACCCCACAGCTAAGAATTGTCTTATGTAGCAGTTTGCCCCTCCAGTTAGAATGAAAGCAAGGATTTTGTCTCAATCGTGGCTGTATTCCTAGAACACTATAGCAGGGGTGGTCACTTACATTAGAATCAATGAAATGGTGGAGGCAGGATTGTACCTGTGCAGTCTGATCCAAGAACGTGCCCTCTTAACCATGATGTTATCCTGCTACATGGAACAAAGAAATGCGTGGCCCTCCCCACCTCCACCTCAAGAATTCTCTGTGACACCTCTCATCACCTCCTGTTGGGAGCTGAGGGCCTCAGATTCCTTAGTGGACAGGGCGTAGGAGTCAGGAGGGGAGGTCCTTGGGTCACTAAGGGGAACAGAGAATGAGGGAATCCAGGGGTTGTCAGGTCAGCTAAGTTCCTCTGGCTGGGGGCCACCAGGCCTATTTTAACCAGCCACCTGTCCATTTCTGTCTCTACTAGCCAAGTCACAAGTTGTAGAGAACCTCAGCCCTCTGAACAGCCTCCTTATCCTGGTACCCAGGGCAAGGCAGAGAACACTGGAAAGCCCCACTCACCAGGCAGACCGATAGAGTATCAAGAAGGCCAGAGTGAAGTAAGGGCTGTGAGTGGGAGGTGAGGAA